CACCTATGATCTTATGGAACGCATTTCTTAACATAGTATTTTTAACCAGGACTTCTTGTGCCACAAATCTGATGTGACTATTCATGAATGCCATAATAATTCAATTCTTTGATATATATGTTACTCTATTTTAACTTACATGGAATAACTGCGAACTTTCATCCCTCGGACAAATATCAGATTCACCACAAAATGGGCTAACTGTAACAGTATTCTCATCAATAGTTGGCAAATTATCACTAAATCCTCCGTCCATATATCTGATTCCATGAAAACGTGGAGGAAGCAATCCAGAAAAGACAGGAATAAAACAAGATGCAAGTAATGCCTAAAAATCAATTGGAAATATTAATGATATTTCAAAATCGGTATAATTGATTTTTGGATGAAATTATGAAATTACGCGGGCTACACGAGATCCGGCGATGTTCACAACTTGATGTTGGGGGATACACACTTCACACAGGACATAAACACTGTAATAAATATTTTATCTGACAGGAAACATAGCAAAAATTTTGGACATGTTTTTACTCAATATACAGAATTTTGTGATAAAAAGACAAATATTACATATACATAAAGGAAAATGAAAATATGTTATATGAAATGAGTAAAATATTTGAAAAAAAATTAAAGCTAGAGATACGTAGATTTTAAGGGTGTATTCTAGTCCAGAAGCATAAAATTTATGTGTTTTTGGAAAGACTGCAAACATTTTTTTACAATTCATTTCTTTTGTAAGTTGTTAATTAATGCTTTAAGAATGCAGAAAAAAAATTAAAATTAAAATCATAAGCACAAAAGCTCATAGAATTTTGTAAATTCTGATTGCTGTTAAATAAAGTATAAAAAAAAATTAAAATCAATCAAAAAGGTTTAATTCTAGCAGGTGATGAATGGGAGGTAACCATACCCCTGATTTTAGCCCTCCAAATAATCCAATAAAAAAAGGAAAAAGAAAGATTATTAATCTAGAATAATGGCACAGTCGTATGAACTATGGGCAAGTTAAAAACAATTTTTTCACAAAATCCGAAAAAACAAATGTCTGGAAAATAAAACAAATTTATTTCACAACTTCTTTTTTGATATTCTCGATTTTTTTAAATAGTAAACATCGGAATTGGGGAATGAGTGTAGTTCATACTGATGAGAAGTCTATAAAAAAGACTCTAAAAATTTCAAGTAAATCGGTGCAGTAGAAGTTGAGAAATCGTGGGCATCGTATCGAAATAGACAAGTTTCGAGAAAAACGCGTTTAAAGTTTCGCTGAGGAAGGAATCAAGAATCCTCCTCTTGTGCACATATTCATGAATAGTTCAACTCCAAAAATATAAAAAAATCGACTTCTTAAAACTTCTAGACTAGAATATCCCCTTAAATTGAATACGTTTCTCTAAGCACAAACTATTAATTTTAATTAATACAAAAAACTAACTTTATAAATAAATATTCACCTGTAATAAATCTTCTCGGCTATTAAATTGCGATACTATAACATTTTTTCCGTCGTATACCCTTGTGAGGGAAATATGCAGTTTTCCATTGACCCTCAAATGAGCATCTTCGGGTAAGAATTTTTGTAATCCTTCCAAAAGGACATTTTGTATATTGAATGAAGGACTCAAAGGTCCCAAAGAACGTTTCCTAGCTTCGTTTACGACACGTAAAACATCACTGGTCATTTCACCTGAAAAAAAAACGATAAGATTTAATTATTATTTGTTTAACTTTAATCATATCACAGTATATTTTTAAATTATTTACATACTCATGACCATGAGAATATTCTAATCATCAACCCTGTTCAATAAGAAAACAATAAATCGTTTTATTATTCGATAGTTCTATGTGTTATCTATGTTACACACATGCCTACATATTTTCTCTTTTTTGTTTCTGATGTGAACTGCCAATATTTGTATATGACACATTATTGAAATATGAACAATATCTATATAAAACATTATTATCGAACGCATGTTTGAGTACGGTGTCAGTGCACTATATAGTTATTTTCATCATTAAAGAAGAACCAACCGTCAAGATTATACTCGTTAAAAATATAATATCGGGATGAATATAAATGTAATATCACAGCTTTCATTGGAAAACATTTGAATATTTGTTTTTTGTAAAAAAATATACTTATGAAGAAAGTCGGGTAAAGACAGGTGGTAATTGCTGGCTCCACCTCTATTCTATAAAAATTGACTAAAAAATTATATCAATTGAAATTTGTTTAAATTTTTTTTATGTCAATCAAAACTTTATTAAAGATTTGTTTAAATGTTGTCATGATTTATTCCGATTTGCTGGCAATCCTGGCTTTGTCCACAGTAGCTTCATCTCATCCGACATTTGGTACAACAATTTTTTACCTACTCCTCATTATAATGATAATGATTTTATGGAACATATTTTAAACCATCTTAACCTTGTTTTTTTTTAACTAGGACTTCTTGTGCCACAAATATAATATAGGGATGAATACACATGCCAATTTTCTTATTAACTTCCCGTAGGGTAAGTTATAATAATGGGCCAAAAATCGAAAATGAAAAATTTTGCACATCTTGAGGTTTCTAAACATTTTGGCATATCTCAGAAAAAATGGATGTGTGTGTAATTTTTCGTCCAATTTTTCGGGCGCACAAATCAACCGATTTGAATAGTTGAAAAAAAATTGATTCCAAATGAGAGGGAGATGTGCTGATTAGTTTTTGGCAAAGGCAGGTCCAGCCGTTACGGAGATACGGAGCAAAGAGTGCAGAAAATAGAACCCGAGCTTTTGAGAGAACGAAGTATCCGATTTGAATGATCCAAAAGACATTCAATTTGTAATGATTGGGTGATTAGTTTTTGGAAAAGGCAGGTTTCGAAGATGCAGAGCTAAATATACAAAAAATGTAGTTTTTGAGAAAACTTAGCATACGATTTGAATGATTCAAAAAACTTATAAAATGTTACAGTCTATCTATTTGAAAACATTTAATATTCCTCGAACATTTCGTTTCGGTACGGGAAGTTCCAGCAATTTACCTTAAGGCACTATGCCATACATCTATAGTTTCCTTATCTATGATAAATGTAATATAACAGCTCTCATTAAAAAACATTCGAATATTTGTATTTTGTAAAAAAATGCTTGATGATTTTACTTGTTGCAATGAAAGCCTCTCTTGCTCTTTAATTTCCTCTATTTTTTTATAATTGAATCCAAATTAGTCAGATATTATTTTTATTATTAAAATTGAGCTGCATTTTAACTTAATCTTATCTATGATACTAAAATTGCTAAATTCTTGAATTTTAAGTTCCCTTTCCATTCAAATACTTTCTATCAAATTGTTATTGCACAATTACAAAATAAAAGAGTTCATTTTTACAAAAAATAGTTCGAAGTAATTCGTTACTTGATTTTTATAGATGCAATTTTAAAGCCATTATTAGAAATATCCAATCCAATTCATTTCAATAACGCCGAATCGAATAGAAATGTCCAAAGTTCCGTTTTAACTGTAAATTTGGTATAAAAAAATGTGTATAAATTACATATCATGACTTATAAAACCGTTAAGACTTGCTAGAGCAAAATCAATCAAAAAACTTTGAATGTATGAAGTTTCGTGCCATGTCAGGCATCATGTCGAGAAATTATTATTTTGAGAAAAAAGATGCAAAAACAATATCATGGTTTTGTTACTGATATCGGGAACAGGAAATTTCAATAAACCTTTACCTCAAAATTTATAAAAAAAGATTGAGAATAATATAAATACATGAAATATTCTTCCTCTTTTTGTCAACATTTTATTTCTTCTCCTTCCTCAGTTTATGTTAATATTTTATATTCTCATTTTTTCTCAATTTATGTTAATATTTTTTATTCTCATTACTTTCATTTTTGACCGCCAAATGGCATTATTTTTTACGTTTTTTTATTGGATCTTCGGAGACGCTGGACCTGCCTTTATTACAAAAATCACCAGTTGTTCATTTCATCAATACAAATAAAATATTTTTGAATTAATTAAATCGGACGCTCCGTTATCTCAAAACTCAAAAACCATTTTTGGCACTTTTTGCCCCGTATCTCCGAAACGGCTAGACGTGCCTTTGCCAAAAACTAATCAGCACGTCTCCCTATCAGTAGAAATCGAATGTTTATTGAATTATTTTGAAAATTTGTATCCGCACACACATACACGCGCACGCGCACACGCACACACACATCCATTTTATCTAGTGTATGGCAGAATGTTCAGAAACCTCTGAAACGTAAAGATATTTAAAAAATTTCATTTTCGATTTTTTTTTGTGATTACCATAACTTACCCCACGAGAAGTTAATAAAATTTTATTTCTAACAAAAGCATGTATAAAGGAAAATCCCACGAATTATTCGCACACTGTTTTGAGTTCAAAAGTATCTGATACAAGATAAGGCAGCAATAATCACTCAAAATTCTTATAGATAAAAAATATACCGTGAATTTTCAACAAAAAATATCAGTTAACATTGTACCGAATAAATCTTCACCAGTTCAGTTCAGATCATGTTAAAAAAAAAATTACTCATTCCCATATCAAAATGAATTATGATTTTCGATTTAGTCGTATTACAGACGTAACAAGATATTTAAAATGTAATCTATGAATTAGTTGAGAAATAATTAGCATACTGTGCATAAATATAGTTTATTTTGCACACGTTAGCATTGATAGAAAATTAGATCGAAATTCAATATCTGTCAATTGTACACAATGTTATCAATTTGGATTTTGAACACATTTTTAATTAAGGCAGGTTGTCAAGCGACCAATTAATAAAAAATAGTTAACTAATATTTTTTCTCTTTTCACCTAAACTTGGAAAAAAGAAAATTCCATATTATGTTTCAATATGCAAGTAGTAATGTTGTTTATTATTTCAAACTATAATTTGACTACAAGAATGTGGCAAAACTACATTTATAATCACTTGTTTATTTTAATTTTAAATAATACAAGTGCGCTTGTGAAAATATTATTGCAATAATAGAATTTTCGAAGAAATGCCTTGAAAATATTCACGTTAATTTAAATATATGAATATTAAACACATATATACAAGAATAAACAATCAGCAAGCAATGCTATCAAATTGCTGGGTCATCTTTCAAAACTGAGGAACTTGTAATCGTACGAACTACGAATATAAGGATTTTATAATTATAAACTACAATTATAATTTGATATTTTTTTTATAATTTTAACTTAATAATTTTGGCTTAAATATTTCTCCGTGTAACTAATTATTAGTTTTATTTCAATTTACTTGACTTTCACAATGACTATGATTAAAATATTTAATTTACTGATACTTTCTCTAAAAGTGCCATTAAAATTGCAACGTCCCGTGACTCGAACAAAAACCATGTATTTAATTTAAAATTTAAAAATACGTATTTTTTAAATAACACATCCAGTGTTTTAATTTTAAATATAAAGCCTTGAATTTATAAAAATTGGCACAGTAAATAGCATGAGATTTTTTTAGAACGCTTGAAAACCAGATCGAACAAGTTAGATGCTTTTAAAATTTTACCTCATAATGCTTTATTAACACAATTATTGAGTTTATTTTTGCAATATTCATGTGCACCGAGATAATTATGTGAAAATTATTATTTTCACCAGTACTTTGACCTAGGTAAAAAAAAAATTACTAATAGAATTAAAAATATCTCAATTAGGCTGGTGAATTTAAAGGGTTAGTTAATCTCGATATTAAATTACTGACAAAGCATAGATAATATTAAAAATAATTTTATTTTAGAAGAATAACATACATTTTGCCAAATAAAACATTTTTCAACTCGACAAAGTCTAACAGTAAGTTAATAATCACTACCACGTCACAGTTTTTTATTATTATATTTTTATCTTAAATTTCTGTTTATTATTCAGATTTGTTCTCTGTATTTAAGTTTAATTTTTTTGTGTTATTCTCCACAATTTTTCCTACAGGACTAATAAAGTTTTGATTGACTAAAAACAAATGATCAAAGAGTTATCAAACTAAAACTGATGATTTTATTATTTTGATTACGATTGAGATGAACTAATAATTTTATATTAGAAAACAAATCTCTAACTTCAGTATTTGATATTACAGCAGATAAATAAATATAGAAGATTTGTTAAATAAAATCAACAATTTTAATATTTGCTATAAGATAGATGTACATATAATATAAAGAAGTATAGTACCTACTGGAATTATGAATTAGTTTGATATATAGTGAGACCTGAAGTAAAATCTATTTGATCCATTTTATATTTGATGGAACTTCATATGACAGTAATTCAATGTCATTTATTTATCAAAGTTTTACCCTTTCCACTCGCGAATTCCGAGATATATATGAATTTTGGCATCCGAGTGGAAAGAGTTAAAAGGCTAGATGTTAATATATCTATGTATCCTATAATTAATGAATGTCTTTTTTGCATAAAGATAGATTTTTTTTTCAATAAGGGCTCGCCCGTAGGTAAGCGATTAAGAGGGACGGGACTTGTTTCAGAGGTCCCGGGTTCGATACCCACTTCGAGCAGCCTGTTGTCAGGCAGCAGTGACAACGATTTTCACTTGGAAATATAGCAATATGTTTCCAAGTTAAAATAGCCCTCAAACGGCATTGCTGC